TGCTTGTGGGGTCTCCATCCCTGGAGATGTTTAGCAGGATCTGGCTGCCCAGAGAGCTTGTGAGGTCTCCAGCTATGAGGTGTTTAAAACCCAGCAGGACATGGACCCACCAACCTGCTCTGGCTGACTCTGTTTTGGGTCATAAAACAGTTTAAAGTGCTGGTTATGGGAATGTTACACATTTGTGAGGGTGATGCATTTGGGTACAAGGGTTGAGTGTCTTCAGGATGTGACTGACTGAAGTAAGAGGGTGGTTTGCCCCTCACGAAGGAGCTGTCTCAGCCTGGGGCTGGTTGGGTGTTGGCTGTGTTTGACCTTGGAAGTGTTTTAGCAAGTGGTAACACATCATGTGTCTGAGCCGGGGTTGAGTAGCCCTGAGCTGAGGAGCACGGGGTGTGTCTCACCAGGTGGTGTCTCGGGAGGGAGCAGCTCCTCGGGAGGAGAGCTTGGTGTTTGGGAGGTGTGTGCTGTAATTCCCTGCAGTTCCTTGTTTTCAGCATCCAACTGAATGACACGGGGAAGGAGTTTTCCTGTGCATTCCCAGCTCCTCCACAGGGATGAATGAGCCATTTCCTCCTAAGGGCTGGGGGGTATGATCTGTGGTACAAGCTGCACGTTTCTGAGCTGGTTTTGAGCAGGGATTACAGGGGATTTCTATTCCTTTATATTTACATTTACCAGGCTTATTGGGAGACTGGGAACGTGGAGGAGACTCCAGGCCCTTCAGCTCTGGCCTCTGCTGGAGAAATTCTGAGAGGTGTGTGAGGGTGGAGGAGCTGAGAGGAGAGAGGGAGAGCTCTGGAGACGCCGAGCTGGTTCCGAGCTCCAGCAGCTCTTCCCTTGCTGGGTTATTCCTCATCCACCAGCGGGTTTTGAAGGAGGAGGGGTGTTCCTGCTCCAAACGGCAGCCTGGCACGGTGCTGGTCCTGGGGTGTGGCACGATGCTGGTGTGAGTGAGGTGTGAGTGAGGCTGCCCCCAGGAGCGGGGGTTTCCCTGCAGGCTGTCAGACAGCGTCTGGGACCGCTTGCTTTTCCCATCACCACAGTGCCGGTGTCACCTGGGGCTCCCTCTGCCTCCTGATACCTGCAGTGAGCAGCGGAGGTGTGAGCAGCAGCCTCAGGCTCGCTGGGTGTCACACAGCTCTGCCCCTCACAGAGTCCTTACAGAAGATCCCTGTTCAGAGCTGGTGCAGCTCATTCCTGCCCTTCCAAAGGGCTCGGATTGTGAGGGGATCCAGGCTGGCCCGGACCCCACCACAAGTCTCCAAAATCTCACGGGGTAACAGAGGCTGTGCAGCCCAACCCCCATTCCCCACAGAGCCTCGAGTCAGGCTCACAGCTCACCCTGTCCTCACCCTCCCTGCTCTTCCAGGCTGGGATCTGCGTGTTCCAGAGGGCCTGCCCTGGACACGAGAGCGCTGTGCTTGCTGTAGGTGCAGCGAGAGCTGGTTCGGGCCAGCACGAAACGCGTCGTGATCTTCATTTGAATTTTGTCACTGCGGGGGAGCGTTGCTAAAATTGTCACTTGGCTTCCCATGTTAGCAGCACCTGAGGGCACGCCGAGGCGGCCGGAGGTTCATGTCTGAGCTGCACATCCCGGTTTATCAGCGAGCCGAGCGCTCGGGTGGGGATATGTTGATTTTCCAAGAGATACGCTCTTGACATCTTTATTTTTCTGACAGCGCAAGAATCTTATTATATCCCTACCTCTTACCCATATTTTCCTGCTCTATTTATATCCCACACTCTCGGGATTCAGTGTGGGGGCTTTTCAGGCTCTGGGGGGGGGTTTGGTCTGGGGATCAGCAGAGCCTCGTTATCCTGCCCGTTCACAAATGGTTTCCCGATTGACATTGACGTTGTGGCTTTTTCCAACCCCTTCCCTGCCGCTGCCACGTGAGCCCTGCCAGCTGACAGAGGATTTGTTTGAAAGAGCACTCTGTGCTCTTTTCCAAAAAGTCCCAGCCTTTTTTCCTCCCCGAGTGCTCTGGAAGATCAAAAATAAAATTCGGTACAATTTTCTCATTCTTTTTTTTCTTTTCATCTGTGTTGCTGAAAATAGGAGGGAAGTTGGGAGTGACTGAGCCCACTTCCTTCACAAAGGATGGAAGGGTGATGGCTGTGGGTTGTATTCCTGGGAATACCCCCTTGTGTCACTTAGGAGGGTGGACGCTGGAATTGCTGCTCCGGGAATGCAGGTGGCATCAGCACAGCACTCCCCAGGATTTGGGATGTGCTGGTCCCTTGCTGGTGCTGACTCTGAACATGACTCTCTGCTTTCCTGAGCAGTAAAGTCTTACTCATTTTCCAGGTTAAAATTAAAAAAGGAACTTCTCTCCTTCCTCAAAAGTACTTGTAAATCATGTAATTTCTTACTTTTCAATGTAAATGAGATTTGAATGAATAATGCTAATTATTCATTCATCCTAATTCAAATCCTATTTTAATTAGCCTGTAGGCCCAATTTCACTTTCATGCAGCATGAAACCTCTTTTGATCAACAACAGAACTGCCTTGCATTTCTTCTTCTTTTTTTCTTGCTCAGCACATGTCTTTTTAAACTGCTTAAAACCAAGACAAAACAAATAAATCACTAATAAATTAATCAAATTTCACTTGCATGACCTGTGGGGACATATTTCAAGGGGGAGAAAAGTCTGCTCTAGATATATTGATTCTCCTTAACAGCTGCCTCAAGGCTGCAAAACCTCCTGCAGACAAACCTTTCTGAGGAGGTGCTGGGGAACTATGGAAATACGGAGACCTGAGAGCCTCAGCTCCCTGTTCCCTCTGGGAACTGTCTCCTGGCTGGAAGCCTCAACTCCAGGGAAAACTCGGAGCCAAAGCCTGTACCTGGTGTGGGCTCAGCCAGGACAGGGGTAGAGCCCTTCCAGCCACAGTCACAGCGTGGTTTGGGTTGGGAGGAACCTCAAAGCCCACCCAGTGCCACCCCCTGCCATGGGCAGGGACACCTTCCACCAACACAGGTTGCTCCAACCTGGCCTTGGACACTTCCAGGGATCCAGGGGCAGCCACAGCTTCTCTGGGCAACCTGTGCCAGGGCCTGCCCACCCTCCCCAGGGAGAATTCCTTCCCACTATCCCACCTGACCCTGCCCTCTAGCAGTTCAAAAGCAGTTTATTCCTTGTCCTGTCACTACAGACCTGGATAAAATGTCCCCATTTTTCTTACAACTCCATTTATGCACTGGAAGGTCACAAGAGGATCTCCCTGGAGCCTCCTCTTCTCCAGGCTGACCAACCCCTCTTCTCCCAGCCTGTCTCCAGAGCAGGGGATCCAGCCCTTGGAGCATCTTGGGCTGGAAGGGATCCATAAGGATGATCCAGTCCAGCTCTCTGATCCTCACAGAGCTGCCTGGTGCTGAGCTGAGCCTGCACAACTCCTGCACCCTCCTGCTCGGGTGCTTTGGGCTGCGGCTGCCAGTCTGGACTGGGATGGAGCCCAGGGGATCCAGTTTGTACTGGGATGGAGCCCAGGGGATCCAGTCTGGACTGGGATGGAGCCCAGGGCATCCAGTCTGTACTGGGATGGATCCTAGGGGATCCAATCTGTACTGGGATGGAGCCCAGGGGATCCAGTCTGGACTGGGATGGAGCCCAGGGGATCCAGTCTGGACTGGGATGGGCCTGCATCATGCTGAGATGAGACCAGGACATCCAGTTTGTACCAGGACATGGGCCAGTCTTTACTGACCACAGGACAGTCTGTACTGAGCTGAGGCCACAGGATCCAGTTTATACTGGGCTGAGGCCCAGGCTGTGCCGGGAGTGGATCAGGGATCCAGTTTATACTGGGCTGGGGTCCAGGCTGTGCTGGGACAGGATCAGGGATCCAGTTTGTACTGGGCTGTGCTGGGACAGTATCAGGAGATGGTTCTGAGGGCATTTGGGATTTGACAGCCTGGAGAGAAGCTGTTTTTAACCCCCATCTGGTGTGTGTGGTGCTGCCTTCCAGGTCCCCAGCAGGATGGGGACATGGTTGGAGCCTCTGAGGTGTTTCAGTTCATCCCCACAGCCCACCCTGGGCTGGGGAGGGGACAGGGCACACCTGGGGGACTGTCCCCTGGCTGCACATCAACACCAGCCATGCTGAACAGCTCCAGAGCTTTTCTGCAGGGAAAGCTGATTTCTCTTTTCTCATGTACCTGGCTCAGACTCTTCTCCCTTCTCTCTCTGGACGTCAGTGCCTGCAGAGCTTTAATCCAGGAGCCAGCTTGCTGTCAGACAGGAGTGTCTGATGTTTGTGGATCCTGCCCGCTCCAAGGAGCCTCCTCTGCTGGAAGTGCTGGAATGAATTTATGACAAATACAAGGAATGAAAATCTCCCTCAAATGCACTTTCTGGCATGACTTAAATTAGCTGAAACTGCTGACATTTTGCCTTTCTGGGATGCGTGTCAGTGTCCATAAACTTTTCTTTCAAACATTGGAAAATTATTGAGTTAAATGTCGCCAGAACAACAGATGCAGGAGACATGAGTGTAGCTTGGGTGAAGGTTACTGGGATGTGTCTGGGTGCTGCAGCACGTGGTGCAAAGGCAGGACGTGCTTCTCTTGACCTTGGCTGATCCCAAGGTTGATCCTGCCCAAAACTGAAGGATAACGCCACTTCCAGTGCCATTGCTCTGCTTGTAGATTCTTGGGTCTGCACTGCATTTGGTTTGGATGGTGTGAACCTGGGATTGCAAAGTTTAGTGATTGGTCATTCTGCTCGGGCCAAAATGTTTCCTTAAAGACAAGGAAGTCCTTGGGCTGCTGGTGGGTCCTCCCATGTTCGTGCCACGGCTCTGCCCAGGCCTGGGACTGAATTTAGACTAAGTGGCACTTCATTGGGAAGAGAATCAGCTCTTCAGCAGCTCTGCAGCTCCACAGCCAGGACCTGCTAATTGACAGAGGTCAATTAGACAGTGCCAACTGTCAGACAATGCCAACTGCAGCCGAGGGCTGGAGGCAGCCCCAGCCCACATGTCTGGGTGGGCAGGGTCTGTACACGGCTCTGGCACTCTGTGCATTGTTACAACTGGTTGGGAATCCTCCTGGACAAGTCCCAGAATGACCCAGGTGCCTCTGCCCTCCAGTGGCTGAGTGGTGGCCGAGGGATGATCCCTGTGTCTCCCTCTTTACCGCTGCCCAGGGACAGCCCAGCCTCAGGAATGTGTCTGCAGGTGGAAAGCACACCATGAAAAGCTGGCACGTGACACAAAGGGATTTATTTGACGATAAGGTGGCAGCTTATCTCAAAGTAAAGACTCTCTTACTGAAACCAGCACTCATTTCAGACTTCTCTGCTGTTAACCGAGTGTGACAGTATCTGAGGACATAAAGGCTGGTTCCTGCTGTTATTCCAAATTTACATGGGCAACAGCGTTTAATTAATTTAAAATTTACTTAGTAGTTTATTTTCAGAGCCCTAATGTTTTCAGTGAGTGAGAATTAACCCCTTCCTAAACTCCTTTGGGTTTTGTCTCCTTTTTAATTGACAAATCGTGGCATGTCAGCAGGAACGTGCCTGTCCCGTTTGCCCCCAAACCCAGGTGTGAAATGCTAAGCATGGGGGTGTCTGAAGCACTGTCTCCTGTCCCACTAGTGCAGAACTCAGGGAGGCAGAGCTGGCCTTGGATGTCTTTCTGAAACGGGTGCAGAGAGGGACTGCACTGGGATGGAACCTCTGCTCTTTTTTTCCTGTTAAAAACGTGTTATTTCTGCCAGTTCTCTGTGGCACAAGGGCAGGGGGGTTGTGTAGGAGGAAGAACTCTGATGGAAACCTTGGCAGGACTGCATACACCTCTGACAGCTGCTATCTATCCAACACTTGTAATTTGTACATGACCCTCCTCGGGGTTAAGTGCAGGTGGCCTGTCCACCCGAGTCAGGGCCGGTGATTTTTGTCTTAGTCGGTAATTTCGATGGCAGTCATGATCCTGAGCCTGCTGGTATTGAGATTCCCCCATAATCCTTCCATTTCCCTCCTGTTTTTCCCGGCTAACCGAACTGAGCTGTCTCACTGCCTCCCTTGCAGGCTCCTTGCCCGTCCCTCAGCTGGCTCTGAGCCCCCCGTGGTCGCCCTCTGATGTTGGGGGCCGTGCTGAAGGATGAGGGCGCCGGGGGCTGCCTCGCTGACAAGGAGGTAAGAGCACCCCCTGCTCCTGCTGACACAGCCAGGGCTCACAGCCTTGACCTTGGCTCCGTCACCAGCTTTCATCAAACCCTTACCCTTGAGGGCCCTCCCTCCCCTCTGAGCTGACATCCAGTCCGAGCTGCAGTCTTTGCTCTGAGCATGGTTGAAGCAGTGGATCTGTCCCAGCCTCTCCAGCAATCCATGTCTCCCTCTTCCACTGGTAACTCATCTCCAGTTCTCAGCCTGCAAACTCGTGTCCATGTGCCCGTTTTGTGTGCAGCCACTTCCCAGCTGGGCCTGGGGAGGTCCAGCCTGGCTGCCAGACCTGGCTGGGCTTGTGCAGAACTGCTGTAATTATGGCACTGATCTTGGATCTAACGTGGGAACCATTTGTCAAGACCTTGGCTACTGTTGATCCACTTAATGTGGTCTTTTTTAATACTCTCCTGTGCTATTTTTTTCTCTCAGTGCCATGCAGTGATAGATCAAATGTCCTGCACAGCCCGTCCACACCATGTCCCTGCTGTTGATTTTTCAGTGGTACATTGGGTGCTACATTTGCATCCTTTAATTCTGCATTGTTTGCATCCCCCCACATTTCATTATGTTGCTTGTGAACAACTCTAGTTTTGTGGAAGAAGTTGAATAGTTCCTGGTTTTCTTCCGGTCTCCTGAAATTTCTCCAGTTTAAGAATAAATCCCTTTTAAGATCAGAGTGCTGGAGATTTGTCCAGTTCTGGATTTAGGATCTTTCACCAAATGTTCTGTTGTAAAAGTTTCTATTAATAATGGAAACTCACCTGGAGAAGAGAAGGCTCCAGGGAGACCTGAGAGCCCCTTGCAGGGCCTAAAGGGGCTCCGAGAGCTGGAGAGGAACTTTGGACAAGGGATGGAGGGACAGGACACAGGGAATGGCTTCCCACTGAGAGAGAGTAGATTTAGATCAGATAATAAAAACAAAATCTTCCCTCTGAGGGTGCTGACACACAGATAATGTGTGTCTCTATCTTTGACTGGGGAGTAGCTCTGGGAGCACAGCACATTTTTCTGTGCAATGTCCCTAAACTGCTGCTTTCTGTCCCAGCAGACTCCTCGGAGACCTGCGGAGGAGACGTAGGATCTTCAGGCAGGTTCTGGCAGCTGGATCCCGATAACAGGTGATGTCACAGACACGGATGGGTGCTGGGTGTAAAAGTGTGTAGTTTCAGGCTCTCTTGGTTGAGGGTTTGCAATGTTTAGGCTCAGGCTGATAAACCGATAAAAACCTGGGGGGGGCCTTGCTCGTTTCCTTAGATAAACTCACTTGACCACCATGAGTTGGAGCTTCCTGACCCGCCTGTTAGAGGAGATCCAGAACCACTCGACCTTCGTGGGCAAGATCTGGCTGACGGTGCTGATCGTGTTCCGGATCGTGCTGATCGCCGTGGGGGGCGAGTCCATCTACTACGACGAGCAGAGCAAGTTCGTGTGCAACACGGAGCAGCCGGGCTGCGAGAACGTCTGCTACGACGCCTTCGCCCCCCTCTCGCACGTCCGCTTCTGGGTCTTCCAGATCATCCTGGTGGCCACCCCCTCCGTGCTGTACCTGGGCTACGCCATCCACAAGATCGCCCGGCTGGTGGAGCAGGGCGAGGCCGGCAGGAGGGGCCGCAGGAGGAGCCTGCCCGTGCGCTGGAAGCAGCACCGCGGCCTGGAGGAGGCCGAGGGCGACCACGAGGAGGACCCGATGATGTACCCGGAGATGGAGGTGGAGAGCGTCCGGGACAGCAAGGAGAAGCAGAGCCCCGCCAAGGCCAAGCACGACGGCCGGCGGCAGATCCGGGAGGACGGGCTCATGAGGATCTACGTGCTGCAGCTCCTGGCCAGGGCCCTGTTCGAGGTCGGCTTCCTGGTGGGGCAGTACTTCCTGTACGGCTTCCAGGTGAACCCCGTGTTCGTGTGCGGCAGGAAGCCCTGCCCGCACAGGGTGGACTGCTTCATCTCCAGGCCCACCGAGAAGACCATCTTCCTGCTGATCATGTACGGGGTGAGCTGCATGTGCCTGCTGCTGAACGTCTGGGAGATGCTGCACTTGGGCTTCGGCACCATCCGCGACACGCTCAACAGCAAGAGGAAGGAGCTGGTGGACTCGGGGACCTTCAACTACCCCTTCACCTGGAACACCCCGTCGGCTCCCCCCGGGTACAACATCGCCCTGAAGCCGGAGCAGATGCCGTGCACGGAGCTGTCCAACGCCAAGATGGCCTACAGGCAGAACAGGGCCAACATCGCCCAGGAGCAGCAGTACGGCAGCACCGAGGCCAACATCCCCACCGACCTGGAGATCCTGCAGAGGGAGATCAAAGTGGCTCAGGACCGCCTGGACCTCGCCATCCAGGCCTACAACAACCAAAACAACCCCGGCAGCTCCAGAGGGAAGAAGTCCAAAGCGGGCTCGAACAAAAGCAGTGCCAGCAGCAAGTCGGGAGACGGGAAGAACTCGGTCTGGATTTAACGCCGGCTGAGTTGACGTACTGTGGGGTTTTTTTTCCCCTAGTTTATCATCATAACCAGCAGCCCCAGTCAATAATGGCTTCCACTAAGGGAATATTTGACCCTGTTTATTTTCAGGGATACCGTTGGCTAGTGATTCACCCCCTGGAGAGGGTTTACACACTGACTCTGGGACTATAGAACTTTATTCTTTTGTCTTCCAAGTCAGGAGGCAAATAGGTATATTTAATTCATTCTCATTGAACGGTTTATGCTGTATGTACAGTATTATAGTACATTTATTATGCACAATTTTTTTTGTATTTGTACACTGGATCTGATGTTCCACTTTTTATATCGACCAGGACAAGGCCATGGGTAGCCGTTAATTAGCATTTTGTTAATTTTATTATTGTTGTCAGCAGTTATGTCGTTGTTCTTCCTTGTTTTCCGAGTAAAAGGTTTTTATAAAACTTTTCTATGCTGCGTTTCCGAAGTGCCTTGAACGTGCAGACAGTGGAGCCTCCACTCTCTGGGCAGCCCCTGGGTGGGGAAATATTTGGGAAGCTGTTCATGGTGCTCCTGACTCTGCCCTTTACTAAAATGATGTGCTGCTGGCAAACTGGAAGTATCATCCCATAAACTCCTGTGTCCCACAGGCTTTTTCTCCCCGCTATGGAAAATGACTTACAGGATAAAATGTGTGTGTGTGTGTGTGGAGAGCAGGAGTGCCAGAGGTGGAGAGGGCTCAGACCTCCTTGCACACTTTGTGCAACAGGAGGGGAAGAGACACTTCAAAGTCCTGCAAAGCATCCGAACAAAACCTGAGTAGGAATGCCTGGATTCAGCAATTCCATGTGTTCCTGTGGTGTTGATGGGAGGAGAAGCTTGTGAGGGTGGAGTAGCAAGGGCAGGCAGTGGAACCTCCCGGGGAGGATTCCTGGTCCTGGTCAGTGGAGTCGTGGCAGTTCTGCCTCCCCCTCTCCCTGAACCGGCACACAGGAGCTGTCTGGGGGAGCTCCACAAGGCCCTTCCCGAATATCCGTGATTCTGCCTTATCCCAGCCCCCTCTTCCCCTTGTTCTGTGCAGGGGTTCAGTTCAGACAGGGCCATATGTACAATCAGCTTTCTGCCTGAGAGCCCAGCCCGCCCTGGGTTTGGCACTGAGCTGGAATGCCCAATGAGCAGGAGGGGAGTGCAGGACGGTGCCTCGGGCTCTGTCTTTCTGGCAGGGAGCCACGATCGTCCTGGAGACACTCTGCAAATGTCTCTGCTTTCTGTACTGTTGGTGATGGATTCGGGACCTTGCTGCTCTCCCTGTTTGCTGTCAGGTTTTTGGGGGTTTCAGTGAGTTTTTGGGGGCCTGTTTCAAGCAGGACCGTTGTGTTCCGGGGCTGCCTCAGCCCTCAGTCCCTCATCAGAGCTGGGTCAGGAGCAGGACTCAGGGAGTCCTGGAATCACAGGATGGTTTGGGTGGGAAGGGATCTTAAAGCCCACCCAGCGCCACCCCCTGTCCTGGGCAGGGACACCTTCCACCAGCCCAGGTTGCTCCAAGCCCCGTCCAACCTGGCCTTGGGCACTTCCAGTGATCCAGGGGCAGCCACAGCTTCTCTGGGCAACCTGTGAGGAGTGAGGAGTGAGGCTCAGATAAATCCCTGCTCCATTCCCATCCCTTGGACACCCTCACAGAGGTTCCACACTAAACTCCCACCAAGGGGACAGGAGCTGTCCTTGCTGTCCCCTCTGCACGAGCACCTGCTGATGAGAACAGTTGTGCTGAGTTGTTCTGGTGTGTTTTCTCTCTGGTTCACCAGGCAGACCAGGAGTGGATCCCTCAGCAATCTGGAGTGCCCAGAGCCAGCAGAGCCCCCGGGTGAGCCCCTCTGGGGCTGTGGGGGCTCTGGGAAGGGAAGTGGCTGCCCAGCCCTTGGCTCAGCACTGACCCCAGGCAGCAGCAGCCGCTGGATTTCAGGCAGAGCAGTGCCAGGGTGGTGTGTGTAAGGAAGGGCAGGTGACACAGGAGGTCCAGAGCAAGTGGATGTGGGCAGGGACAGCCCATGAGGTGGGACTGGCTGTGCAGGGGAGAGGAAATTCATTGAAAGGGCTCCTCTAATTAAACAGGGGCCTGAAGAGAAGGAGCCACAGAGGCTCTGGCAGAGCAAGCTGTGAGTGTGGTGGGGAAGCTGGGTGGAAATCATGCCTGGAAGTACGAGGGAGAGACATCTGGAGCCTGGAGAGAAGCAGGGCTGGTGGCTGCAGTCAGCTCGTTGTGCCCAGCACTGGGGTGGTTCTGCTCACTGTCTCGAACATGTGATGCTGCTCTCACCCCCTGTGTGGGGGGCTTTGGGAACAGCCCCTCACCAGGGAAAGCAGGGAAGATCCTTCCCCTCGGTGCTCTCTTCCCAAACTGCAGCGATTTCCTATTAATGGATTAAAATAAAACAGGTTCCCACCCCCACTGCTCCCAGTTGTTTATTTCCCAATTAATGATCTGAGCCATCCCCCACACGAAGCTGCTGCCGCAGGTCAGTCCCATGAGCCCCTGCCCACCCAATAAATCCCTGGTAGTGAACAGAGTCTCCGGAACATTCCAATCCCAGAGCTGGATTCACTGCGAAAATGCCAAGTGCTGGAGCTGTTTCTGTTGCTGCTTTTTATTTCCACTTTAACTGTGTGTGAAGTGCACATTTTGTTGGAAGCTGAGCGTGTGTTGGTCGTGGGGTCTGTCACAGTTCCCTGTTCTGGCTGTGGCCGATTCCAGAGCATCAGGCTCGATATTTCCTTTTGAAGAAATGACACCTTGCATTGCTTTGAAATGCCCTTGCTTTGGCTTCATGTGAAGGTCATTCCGAAATAAACGCCCAGGAGAGACTTTGGCACAAAAAATACTGGATGGAACTTGGGTTTGTGGTGACATTCTCTGGGTTTGGAAAAAAAAAAAAATGTTATTAAATCCAGTGGATTACTCCGGTCTGAGTGAGATGGCTTCTTTTTTTCCAGCAATAGAATATGGGAGGGAGGGAGGGAGAGGGATGTTTAATGATTTGTCTTAGAGCCACGATTTGGAATTCTTTATATATTTGACCCTGTTTAGTGAAGAAAAAAGGGGTCGGCTTGGAACCAGCTGTGCCTTTTGCGTGGGAATTGCTGTGCAGGGGCGAGAACAATCGCATTAAAAGAGGGAAAACCCGCGAAGTTTGGAAGTCGGGCCTCAGAAAGGGTGGCACTTCGGGGAGGAGGGAAATCTGCATGTGCGCATATGGATGAGCATGCGGGCACTGCCCAGTGAACTGTGCTGCATTAGCTGCCCCAGTTGAGCCGCGGCTGCGGGAGCCGCTCCTGCCACTGTGCCCGTCTGGGGCTGTCACAGGGTGGCTTTGCTGAGTGTCCCCGCTGTCCCCTCGCCGCCGCTCTGACCTCAGCCCGGGCAAGGAGGGTTTGCCGCGTGTGCGGCCGGGAGGGAGCTGGGAGGGAGCGAAAGCTGTTTGTGCCGAGAGAGGGGAAAGCGGGCACGGAGCTGGGGGGACAGGGGGGGTGACGGTCACCCAGGGCAACTCCAGCGCTGATAACTCTGATTCCTGCACTGCCAGGGCCCCCGAGCAGCCCACAGGCTCCACAGTCTGGGGGAAGTGCATGGAGCAGGGAACAGCCCAGATTCCATTGCCAGCTCCATGCCCGGGAATGGTAACACCAGGGATATTAGGGATCGGGGCTCCTACTGCCCTGGCACAGGTTCCAATGCAGAGATGTCAGGGATCTGGGCTCCTGCCGCTCCGTCTGTCTCCAAACACTCGGTTCTCCCTGGGTGAGTCCCCGCAGGCAGCCCCAGGCCCCGCCTCAGCGGGAGCTCCGGGGGTTTTGGGCACCGAAACCTTTGCTTAACAATGCAGAAGGTCCGAAATGCCTTTAAACCCCCGCTGCCAAGGCGGGGACGGTGCCAGCGCTCTGGCCCTGCCCTGCATGGGCTGGTGAGAGCCAGCCTGGCCGTGCTTGATGCCAACACGTCGGGAGCAGCCGAGGGGAGGTCAGAGCCGGGATCACACGCAGGCTCCGGGCAGATGCGCCGAGCTGCCGGAGGTGCCCCTGGGTGTTTGTGTGGCCTCCAGCTGCAGCTCCGGGAGGGAGCAGAGCGGCTCCCAAGGGTGCCCCTGTCACATCTGCCACCCCCGGGCCGATGCCTCGGGTGCCCGAGGGCCTCTCCCTCAGCACCACGCGTCTAGACGCGATCCCAACTGAGCCCTTGCTGACGGCTCCACCTCCTTTCCCTCCGCTCTAGAGTGAGGATAACACGATTTGTTTGGTATTGGATAGCGCCAGGATAAACGAGATCCTCGCTGCAGGGCGATTTTCCCCTTGGAAGCATAGGTTGGGTGTTAAATATTGTCAGCACTAAGTGTTCCTGCCTGTAGTTCTGTAGCAGCTGCTTGTAGGGAGGCACGTTACATTCTCGTAGCTCGGTTTGTCAATAATTCAGGATTTCCTGGTCCCAGGCACACCCGGCTGGCTGGCTGGGAGGTTCCAGGCAGAGGAGCTGTTCATTGAGACGTGCTCGGTGCCTGATCCCTGTGAATGGGACACGCTCTGCTCAGCTACCGTGAAACAGCTCCTGAAGGACGGATCCATTGGCAGGAGTGAAATGCTGTTTGTGCTGGAACTCAGTGCAATCCACCCTCTGCAGCAGCAGGGGAAGGAGCTCGGGGGCTTCTGCTCCCAGGGAAATTGCCATTCTTTTCCTCTGTTTCAGAGGAGACTCCAAATACCAGTTCATCATCACTCAGGAAATGACATTTTGTTTTCTGCAGCATGACATTATCGCTGTTGTGTAAATTCCATGTTGATAGCTGGGGAAAATGCCTCGGAAGGGGGATTTAAAGGCATCTCCTCAGCACTCATCTGGCCTAGGGAGCTGTTTCTGGGCAGTCCAGGCTTTGCTGTCCTCCTCCCTTCCATATTTTTGTTGGACAGGATGTTCTGGTGACTCCTTGGCTGTTCCCACCCGGCCCTTCTCCAGGTGCCCAAGCTGTGACTCCCAGCTGAGCTTCCTCGTGGCCTGGATTCCCTCTGTGGGGTGAGTTCTGGCTGAGCAGGAGCAGGAGCAGGAGCTGTGAACCCGCTTTCCTGTTGTGTCCCCTGGAATGTGCTTTGCCAGGAGGTTCCCCTCGGAATTCTGATGCCATTCAGGATCCCAGTCCCTGGCAATGACTGAGATTTCTTCAGTGAGCAGCCAAGCAGGGCTGTGGTTCAGCTCTGCTGTGAGTGCTGGGGAGTAAGTTCCTTTTGTTTGTTCACCTCTGAGTGTTTCTTGTCCCTTGAAAACCAATATTCCCATTTATGAATGTTTACAGGCTTTTTATATCTTTTTTTTTTTTTGTCATAAACTTGAAAACACCTGAAAATCCACGATTGACAAACTCTTTTAAAAGCCTGTTCTGTGCCAAAAATGGGTTTGGGAATACATTGATTCCCTTGTGCAAAGGGTCT